TCCTTGAACCTATTGGCACGAGATTGAGTTGGTTGAATATGATGGTAGAGCGTTTGTACTGGGTTGCTTGGCCAATCGGCCAGCGACATGGACAGCTTGGTGGCGGCAAGATCTTGAGCGCGCGCTGGGACTGGATGCGGTGGCTCATTAGCGTTTGGATCTCGCGCAGCGCCGACGCATGCATCGGTCGACCACAATGCAGCAACGTCGTGCTGCGGTACATGCGCTGCTGGACGTAATGGCTCCAGTGCATGAGCATGCGGCGCCGACGGAGCTGCTAAAAGAGCGGAATGCTCTGGAGCAACGGGTCAAACATTTGAGTGTCGTAGACCCACTCGGCAATCGGGATGCACTCGGCGGGCTCTCGCGGCTTGACGTGCACGAGGTGCTTGGGCGACAGGACGTAGTGCTCGCCTTTCCCCGACGTCGTCGGCGTCAAGTCGTACGAGTGGCCGCGCGCCGGGTCTGCGACCGATAAGTAGAGTGTACATGCCAGTGCTTCTCGCAGAGGAAGTCGAAGACGCGGTCTGCGTCTTCGATACAGCGCACGGACGCGAGGCTGCCAACTTTGGCGGGCTCTCGGCCGCCGGCGTCCGCTGGCGAAAGCGCGCAACGAGCTTGGCATACAGCTCCAGGTTGTCGTCCTTGGGCTTTTCCAAGCTCGCACTACACACATGGATGGATGCAACGTCACGCGGCAGAGATAAGCATACCGCTGGTCGGCGGCGTAGCGCTTGATCGGGAGCGCGGGCGCATGGTCGGCGGTGCAGGTACGGTAGGCGGCGCAGGTCTCAAGTCGGCTGGCCCATCGCGCTCTACGTCTGACCTCGGGGCAAATCTACGTGCTCATCCGCTGAGGTGCGTCTGCCACTGTTAGCTGGCCAATCGTCTCTCGTAGGCCTTTTTTCGAGCTACGTGATTGGCTATCTCTGTTTATACTTGATGTTTGTACATTAATGGAATTTCATTCCGCTGTTGACGGCGCCAGTACACCATGTATGGCAGCAGCATGCCACAAGAGTACTCTTGCATGCCAGCACTGCTGGCATACTGCCATTACTTCTGCTCTAATATACTAGATATGGTGACTAGACACACGCATCCTACCGGTCCCAATACCTGACTTGACACCAATCCAACGGACGATGGTCGCAGCGCATCAAAGCAACATCGCCACGAAGAGCACGATTGCCGCGCTCGAGCACGCGTCGGCCGTCGCCGAAATGCGCCCGCAGCTGCCACCCCGTCGCGGCCGCAGCAAGGCGCACGCTTCCGCGGCCGGCGTTACTGTCGTGGAGCCTAATGTGGCAGTGCTGCTGGTCGAGGCCGCGCCCGTCGTGCGCGCCAGCAGCGCGGAGCCGGTTCTTGCCATCGACTCGCCCATGCAAAAGCCTTTGCGGAAGAAGACGAAGCAGAAGCCTACGAAGAAGAAGCCGAAACAAGGCCGCGTCGGAGCGGCAAGACTGCTTCCGAACGGCCATCGAGGGGGCGGCGGAGATTCTTCAGCTGCAAATGGAAGCGTTCGAGGAAGAGGAGCTTCAAGGCTTCTTGGTGGCCAACGGCTTGAAACCCGGCGATGCGCTGCCGTCGGCCTTCCTCGGCAAGTTCCGACAATTCTTTGAGAAGAAGGGCTTTGCGATCGACGCCGCGGCGTACATGGATCACATCTCGATCAGCCTCTTCTCGAACAATCTCGCCGCGGACCTCAAGAAGTACTGCCGTCCTCCGGGCACGTTTCACGTGACGACGATGGAGCACAAGTATGTCGATCCTATCAGCGGTGAGCGCATGTGCGTCCACGCCAAGCGCAATGGCAAGTCGCTCGCATTCCGGTTTTACGATCCAGAGGCGCGCAACAAGTGGCGCCCTCTCACGAAAAACACCTTTAAGGATGGCACGCAATTGCGCTGGATTCGTCGCGTCCTTTATGTACGCAATCGCACAACGGACGACGAGTAGTTTGATAACGACACGCATAACTTTTAGTCGTTTATCGAGAAGAGCCCTCGGCATCGGCGCAAACAGCGCCATCGCGCGACAACCCTCTCACGCGACGACTTCTGTGTACGCTGAGTCAACACAGCTACGCAAAAACATGTGTAC